GTAGTTAAGGTGCTTGACAGAACTTATACGTGCAGTAAAGGATCTCTGTACACTCTCTAGATCTGCGATTTCACCTGCTTTGAATGGAGATGTTAATGTACAGCAGTATTCCAGCCTAGAGAGAACAAGTGATTCGAAAATGATCATGGGCTTGGCATCTCTCGTTTTGAAAGTTCTCATTATCCATCCTATCATTTTCTTTGCACGTGCGATCGTGGCACTGTTGTGATCCTTGAAAGTGAGATCGTCAGACATTACTACTCCCAGGTCCCTTACATTATTTTTCCGCTCTATTGTATGGCCGGAGTCAGTAGTATACTCTGTTCTAGTTATTATCTCCTCCAGTTTTCCATAACGGAGTAGTTGGAATTTGTCCTCATTGAACATCATATTGTTTACCGTTGCCCACTGGAAAACTTTGTTTATATCTTCTTGGAGGTTAACCGCGTCCTCAGCAGATGACAGCCTCATACAGATCCTAGTATCATCTGCACAGGATGATACGGTGCTGTGGTGTATATCTCTGTTTATGTCTGATATGAGGATAAGGAATAAGATGGGGGCGAACAGGAACACTTGGTGCAAGGTGACTAATATTAGGGTACCTACTTACTGCTAGGTGAACAGAGACAGCTGGTGTAAGGAAACACGTCCAATGTTTCCAACCGTGCCGGGGATCGAACCACAGACACTGTGTGTGAGGCGAAAGCGTTGCCAACCAGGCCAAGGGACACTGTGGCATACAATCAAAACTAAGATCTAAACCCACATGACTCACACAAGTTTTAATCAATAAAAATAGTGATGAAATTCTCTGAGTATAATACTTAAAGTAGTGATTAAATGAATATCTCAGTGTTAATGCAACAGTTATGAAGGGATTCAGGGAAACTGGTCAGCCGGACTTGAGTCCTGGAGGTGGAAGTAGAGTGTCTGCACTCTGGAGGGGTGTTGATGTTGCCTCTGGCAAGACAGTGATGGAGAGAATGATGATGAGTGTTTCTTCTTTCTCAGGTCACCCTGCCTTGGTGGGACACAGTCCATGTATTAAAAATAAAAAATAAAACGTGAATTGCAGACTACAAGAACCATAATGGAAATAAGTCACTTTGACTTCTCTTGGGTTATCTTGGTGCATAATAATAATAATAATAATAATAATAATAATAATAATAATAATAATTATAATAATAATAATAATAATTATAATAATAATAATAATAAAAATAATAATAATAATTTAAATAATAATAAATTAATAATTATAATGATAATAATAATAATATTATAATAATAATAATAATAATTATAATAATAATAATAATAATTATAATAATAATAATAATTAATAATAATAATAATAATAATAATAATGATAATGATAATAATAATAATAATATAATAATAATAATAATAATAATAATAATGATAATAATAATAATAATAATATCTTTATCTGCTACAAGTGTATGTACAAAGTATACAGACCATAGTTGACAATAACATACTACTATACAGAAAGAACTTTGTTATACAGAGCATTTCCCGCAAATTAGGTCAGTTTTGTCCCAGGATGCGACCCACACCAGTCCACTAACACCCAGGATGCGACCCACACCAGTCCACTAACACCCAGGATGCGACCCACACCAGTCTACTAACACCCAGGATGCGACCCACACCAGTCCACTAACACCCAGGATGCGGACCCACACCAGTCCACTAACACCCAGGATGCGACCCACACCAGTCTACTAACACCCAGGATGCGACCCACACCAGTCCACTAACACCCAGGATGCGACCCACACCAGTCCACTAACACCCAGGATGTGACCCACACCAGTCCACTAACACCCAGGATGTGACCCACACCAGTCTACTAACACCCAGGATGCGACCCACACCAGTCCACTAACACCCAGGATGCGACCCACACCAGTCTACTAACACCCAGGATGCGACCCACACCAGTCCACTAACACCCAGGATGCGACCCACACCACTCTACTAACACCCAGGATGCGACCCACACCAGTCCACTAACAACCAGGATGCGACCCACACCACTCTACTAACACCCAGGATGCGACCCACACCCCTCTACTAACACCCAGGATGCGACCCACACCACTCTACTAACACCCAGGATGCGACCCACACCAGTCCACTAACAACCAGGATGCGACCCACACCACTCTACTAACACCCAGGATGCGACCCACACCACTCTACTAACACCCAGGATGCGACCCACACCCCTCTACTAACACCCAGGATGCGACCCACACCACTCTACTAACACCCAGGATGCGACCCACACCAGTCCACTAACACCCAGGATGCGACCCACACCACTCTACTAACACCCAGGATGCGACCCACACCAGTCTACTAACAACCAGGTACCCATTTTACTGGTGAGTGAACATAGACAACCGGTGTACAGAAACACGTCCCATGTTTCCACCTTCGCCGAGAATCGAACCCGGACATCTCAGCGTGTGAAGCGAGAGCTTTTGCCACCTGTGTGTGATAATTTGTGTAACTGTACTGTGTGTACCTGTGCTTAATAAAGTTACTTACTTACCCATTATTTACTGTCAAACAGGTTTTGGTGCAGCAATACTGTTGCATTTCTTGAATCTGGTAATGCAACATTCCCCCAATGAAAAGCAAGGGTGCCACGAGTACACTGAGACAACACAATAAGTGTCAGGGGCCCAAGGCTATTCAACTGCCTCCCAGCATACATAAGGGGGATTACCAATAGACCCCTGACTGTCTTCAAGAAGGTACTGGACAGCCACCTAAAGTCAGTACCTGACAAACCGGGCTGTGGTTCCACGTCACTTTGCGTGCGGCCGGCAGTAACAGCCTGATTGACCAGATCCTAATTCACCATGAGGCCTGGTCTCAGACCGATCCGCGAGGGCGTTAACCCCGAAACCCTTTCCAGTTAAACTCCAGATAATGGTTATCTGTAAATTACTGTAAAAAACGTTTACGTAATACCAGGATGGTTCAATTAATAATTTAAAACGTTTATCTTTTATAAAAACGTTTATGCAATGCTATGACTCAAGCGATAAAATTACTACAAAACGTTTACGTAATACCAGGATGGTTCAAGTGAATTATAAAACGTTTCTAAAAACTACTGTAAAAACATTTACGTAATACTAGGATAGTTCCCGATACATAAAACGTTTCTATTACTGCAAAAAGTTTACGTAATGCTAAAATGGTCAAGTGATACAAAACGTTAAGGTTAAAACGTTTCTTTGTGTAAATTTACACAACACTAGGATGGTTGTGTAAACTGCTATACAAACGTTTAGACGTTTTTCTCTCTGGTTCGAGACGTCATAATGAAGATATCACGGTATTTCATTATTATTATTATTATTATATTCACGAGGAAACACTAAATCCGCAAGGGTCGTGTAGAGCCTGGGGAGGGGGGGAAGGCATTCATACTGGACTCAAGGAAATCGAGCAGAGCTCTGATTCCATGGACCAGGAGCATTTTTTACACATCAGTTTTACAGGCTGAGAGATGTTATCCTGCCTCAGTTTATATCAAAGTCCAGCACTATCTGAGGTATACTGCCACCCCACCCCCAGGATGCCACCCACACCAGTCCACTAACACTCAAGTACCTATTTACTGCTAGATGAACAGGGATAGCAGGTTTAAGGCAGCTAACACCCAGGTACCTACTTACTGCTAGGTGAACAGGGACAGCAGGTATAATGTGGCTAACACCCACGTACCTACTTACTGCTAGGTGAACAGGGACAGCAGGTATAAGGTGGCTAACACCCAGGTACCTACTTACTGCTAGGTGAACAGGGACAGGAGGTGTAAGGTGGCTAACACCCTGGTACCTACTTACTGCTAGGTGAACAGGGACAGTAGGTGTCTTAAGGAAACACACCCCCATGTTTCCACCCGTACCGGGGATCGAACCACGAACACTGAACGTGAGCCGAGTGCGCTACCAACCGAGCCACGGGGCCCTGGGAGGGACCACTGCATAACAAAGACCAGTACTAACAATTCATGCATAATACAACACCACAGGTTCCGTGATATATCTGGTACTACAATTTGGAAAGTCATCAGCGTAAATAATTACAAAAAGTGAGTCAGACTTACTGGGTTTCAAGTCCGTCAGGTTTACCACACAAAGGGTCGTAGTTACATTATTACTGTCATGGTTCAAACATTTCTTATTGCAAGAATCTGCAAGCTTCTTATTAACCTCTTACCTGGGTTATACTGCCTTCGCGAGTGATTTTCCATGCATACATACATACGTACGTACATATATACATATATGTGCCAAATGGTTAAAACTGGTCAATTAGCAAGAGCTCATTTAAAATTAAGCCCTTTCTAAAATTTTCTTTTATACGTTTAAAGATATATTTTTTCATTTATGTTAATGCCAAAATTAATTTTGTACCAAAAGAACCTTAGAAAACTTACCTAACCGTATTATAATAAGCGCAATTTAATTTAGCCTAATCCAACTAAATATATTTTAGATAAATTTACAATAATTTAATAATAAACAAACACAATGAAATATATTTTTTCGTTAGGTTCAGAATGATTTTTGCGAAATTATTGCATACACAAATTTTCGCTTGCCTTATTCGGCAAGAAGAGCGTTGCTATTTAAGACAAAATCGCAAGTTTTCCGTATTCGGCACGACATATGCATACATACATATATACATACATATATACATACATATATACATACATACTTACATATATACATAAATATATACATAAATATATACATACATCAAGCCAACCTTTCCTGGTGCCGCTAATGTGTACATATATACATACACTATATATATATATATATATATATATATATATATATATATAATATATATATATATATATATATATATATATATGAGAAAGAGAGAAATACATTATATAAGCTACTTATAGGTGTCAAGAAATATTTACTCACGTGAAAAAGATGAAAGAGCAATGTTCTGGAGGTGGGCATGATTATCTCTGGCATACACCAGTATGGCCGAAGCATTCAGGGCCAAACTGTTGGCCACTTTTTCTCTATCTGAGCAGTGGCCACGTGAGACCAGGGCCACCCAGGGTTCAGCTGGGGGTGGTGCCGCCCAGGGTGTGGAGCACCCATGACGGTTGTTCTTGCTAGGGGGGCCCCCAAGGGCCGTGTGGCCCACAACAAGGACACCTGAGGCGGCCCCCACCGCCCCGTTGCCGAATTTGCCCACCTCGCCCATGTAGGTACGTTGGTGGCCCGTCTGTGGATCGGTGAAGGAGAGGTTGAGGTGGGCCAGGGTGATGGTGGCCCCTTCATAGGACCACTCGGAGGTTACTGCTGCTGCTAGACCCGCTACCCATACCCACAACACTACCCATACCCGCATCTTGTTGCCTACAACCCAGGCCACAAGCTGAAGTCTCGTCTGAAACTAACAAGTGTCCAACTTGACTGGTGGTCGAGTGTTGATTTAATCTATCAATTCAAGCAACGCCAGATTTTTAAAATACATCCTGGCGTACATGCTCTCTTGGACACAAGTTGATGATCAATCTTACCATCTTACATTATGTTTGTAATGTCTTCAGCTCATTTTATTAGGAAAATACTGTCTCCTGGCATGGGTTGTAGACGTCGTGATCAAAGCCAGGCTTGTCTTAAACCAAGCCACCTAAACTATACACTCCAATACACAAAGAATAACTACATAGTAGTGTACCATATGATCAAATGATAATAAAACCCTCACTTATAAGTGCACTTATAAGCGTCTTAGTTTGATTAAAAGTAACGTGAAACATCATGGTTTTTCAAGCTACCTCTATATAAACTTTCCTCGTCTGTGCTTCAGAAATTCCAGACAAATGTCTACCATGGCGAGGACATCCAGTCTTTTCTCTGGACTCTTCAATTATGTATTTAACCTCCCGGGAATCCAATTTTCGATATCGCTAAGAGGGAGTGATCGTGGCTGTGACTAACACCGAGATATTTCCAGTTACATACGCAAATCACTCAAAAACCTGGGAGCAAACACTACACACGAGCATCTTATGTCTATTTTGAGAATGGTCCGCACTCAGGACACAAGAATTTCGAGTATAATCACTTATTAACTAGAGTAAGGAGGCTGTACTCTAAGTTAACATCACTCCACCAGTCTCCCGTCACCATCCACAAGTACCAGGAGAGAATATACGAACACGGGGAGAACACGGACGCACAAGTACATTAATATCTACAAGGTATATCACAGTGTAAGGAGGATGAGGAGTAGCACAGCCATCCTGTGTTGTATCTCAGACTTGACTGTTGTTGTTACCTTTACTCCACCATCACTACCACTACCACACAGCACTATCCTCTCTTATATTCCCTCTTACAACCTCCCTATCACATTAATCTGCCTTGTATTACTCTCCTAGCGAGAGAGAGACACATGAACTATACATTCTCAACCAAAATAATCTTAAATATACTCAAAATACGATTATTTTGACGTATATAAGTGACGGGTGTTGCCACACGCCACCAGCAGCAACTCCCTCAACACTCGCCTAGCAAATATCATTCCATTATTAATTAAAATTCACCGTATTTTTAAAAGAAATTCTAACATATACCACATCTGTACGTTACTCTGAATTAATATACTTGAACTGGGACTTCAAAATTTCATTGAAATTTTGGATTTAATGTTTTATTAAATAATGATTTAAATTTCATCAGGTTTTTATGAAGATTTTGTGATAAATTTTCCCTCAGTAATGTTTTTTTAAATAATATATATATATATATATATATATAAAAAATTTATATATTTTTATATATATATTTATATATATATATATTATATAAATTAATAAAAAAAATAACTATAACAACATAAAAACAATAACAATACTTCAACATAACAAAAAAATAACATAACAATAACAATAACAACATAGGAACAATAAAAAATAAACAATTTTAAAAAAAGGGCCCCACTCTATAAAAAAAAAATAACATACAACAACAACGAACAACAAAAACAACATAATATAATAATAAAATAATAAAATAAAATAATAATAAAAATTTAATAATTTTATTATTATTATTTTTTATCTTTATTAAAAATTTTTTAAATGAAGAGCAAAATGAAGGAAGACATAAGAAGGAAACATGAATGAAGGAAGACTAAAATAAAGGAAGACATAATAAAGGAAGACATGAATAAAGGAAGAATGAATGAAGGAAGACTAATGAAGGAAAGGGAGGAAAAAGGGAGTTTTTTAATGTGAAGGAGGTTGAGAGGTTCCCTTGTGAAGGGGGGTTTTGTTTACTCCATGTTAGGTGCCCAGCAAGCTGGTAACCGCCTGTCTTACTCCATGTTGGTGCCCCCAGAAAAGCCTGGTAACCTCCCTGTTTTTTTACTCCATGTTAGGTGCACCAGCAAGCCTGGTAACCTGCCTGTCTTACTCCATGTAAGGGCACCAACAAGCCTGGAAAACCTCCCGTCTTACTCCATTTTAGGTGCCCCAGCAAGTGGTAACCTGCCTGTCTTCTCCATGTTAGGTCCCCACCAGCAAGCCTGGAAACCTGCCGTCTTACTCCATGTAAGGTGCACCAGCAACCCTGGTAACCTGCCTGTCTTACCCTGTAAGGTGCCCCAAAGCCGGGTAACCTGCCTTTTCTTACTCCATGTTAGGGGCACCAGCCCCCTGGAAACCTCCCTGTCTTACCCCCATGTTGGGGGCACCAGCAAGCCTGGAACCTCCTGTCTTACTCCATGTAAGGTGCCCCACAAGCCTGGTAACTGCCTGTCTTACCCCTGTAATGCACCGAAACCCTGGAAAACCTGGCTTCTTATCCATGTTGGGTGCACCAGCAACCTGGAAAACCCCCCTGTTTACTCCATGTTAGGTGCACCACAACCTGGTAACCTGCCTTCTTACTCCATTTTAGGTCACCAAAAGCCTGGTAACCTCCCTGTTTTTTATCCATGTTAGGTGCACCAGCAACCCTGGTAACCTGCCTGTTTTACCCATGAAAGGTGCCCCAGAAGCCTGGTAACCTGCCTGTTTACCCCATTTAGGTGCACCAGCAAACCTGGTAACCTCCCCTTCTTATCCATGAAAGGGCACCAGCAAGCCGGAAACCGCCGTTTACTCATGTTGGTGCACCGAAACCCCTGGTAACCTCCCTGTCTTACTCCATGTTGGGTGCCCAGCAACCTGGTAACCTGCCTGCTTACTCCAGAAAGGGTGCACCGCAAGCCTGGTAACCGCCTGTCTTACCCCCATGTTAGGTGCCCCCAGAAACCCGGGGTAACCCTGCCTGTCTTACTCCATGTTAGGTGCACCAGCAACCCTGGAAACCCGCCTTTCTTACTCCATGAAGGTGCCCAGCAAGCCTGGTAACCTGTCTGTCTTACTCCATGTTAGGTGCCCCAGCAACCCGGGAAAACCTCCCTGTCTTACCCCTGTAAGGTGCCCAGCAACCCTGGTAACCTGTCTTCTTCTCCATGTTAGGTGCGCCAGCAAGCCTGGTAACCTCCTTTTACCCCATGTAGGTTTAACACCCAACCCCTGGAAACTGCTTCTTACCCCTGTAAGGTACACCAGCAACCCCTGGTACCCTGCCTGTTTTACCCCATGTTGGTCACCAGAAACCCCTGGAAACCCTGCCTGTTTACCCCATGTTAGGTGCACCAGCAAGCCGGTAACCTGCCTGTCTACTCCATTTGGGGTGCCCCAGCAAGCCTGGTAACCTGCCTGCTTACTCATGAAAGTGCCCCAAGCAAGCCTGGAAACCCCCTCCCTGTCTTACCCATGTTATGCACCACAAGCCTGTAACCTCCTGTCTTACTCCTTTAGGTGCCCCAAACCCGGGTAACCTGCCTGTTTACTCCATGAAAGGTGCACCGAAAGCCGGGAAACCCGCCTGTCTTACCCCAGTAAGGTGCACCAGAAAGCCGGGAACCTGCCTGTCTTACTCCTGTTAGGTGCACAGAACCTGGTAACCTGCCTTCTTACCCATGTTTAGGTGCACCAGCAAGCCTGGAAAACCTGCCTGTCTTCTCCATGAAAAGGTGCACCAGCAAGCCTGGTAACCTGCCGTCTTACTCCATGAAGGTGCCCCAGCAAGCCGGGGTCCCCGGGCTGTTTACTCCATGTAGGTGCACCAGAAAGCCTGGAACCTGCCTGTCTTACCCCATGTTAGGTGCACCAAGCTGGTAACCTCCGTCTTACCCATTTTGGTGCACCAGAAAAGCCTGGTAACCTGCCTGTCTTACTCCAGTTAGGTGCCCACAAGCCTGGTAACCTGCTGTCTTACCCATTAAGGTGCACCGCAAGCCTGGAAAACCTGCCTGTCTTACTCCATGTTAGGGCACCAGCAAACCTGGAAACCCTGCCTGTCTTACTCATGTAAGGGCACCAGCAAGCCTGGTACCGCCCTGTCTTACCCCATGTTAGGTGCACCAGCAACCCGGTAACCTGCCTGCTTACCCTGTTAGGTGCACCAGCAACCGGGTAACCTGCCTGCTTATCCATGTAAGGTGCACCAGAAAGCCTGGTAACTGCCGTTTACCCCCATGTTAGGTGCCCCGCAAGCCTGGTAACCTGCCGTCTTATCCATTTAGGGCACCAGCAAGCTGGTAACCTCCCTGTCTTATCATGTAAGGTGCACCAGAAACCCTGGAAACCCTTTCTGTTTTACCCCATGTTAGGTGCACCAGCAACCCTGGTAACCGCCTTCTTACTCCATGTAAGGTGCACCAAAAAGCCTGGTCCCTGTCTGTCTTATCCATGTTAGGGCCCCAAAAACCCTGGTAACCTGCCTGTCTTATAGAAAGGGTACACCAAAAAGCCTGTAACCTCCCTGTCTTCCCATGAAGGTACACCAGCAAGCCTGGACCTCCGTCTTACTCCTTTTGGTGCCCCCAGCAAGCCTGGAAACCCTGCCTGTTTTACTCTTTTTGGTCACAGCAACCCGGGTAACCTGTTGTTTTTTTACCCCATGTTAGGGCCCCAGAAGCCTGGAAACCTCCCTGTTTTACCCATGTTAGGTGCACCACAAGCTGGCAACCGCCTGTCTTACTCCATGTTGGTGCCCCAGAAAGCCTGGAAACCCTGTGTCTTACTCCATGTAAGGTGCACCCAACCGGTAACCTCCTGTTTTTACTCCATGTTTAGGTCCCCAGCAAGCCGGGTAACTGCCTGTCTTACTCCATGTTAGGTGCACCGGGAACCGGTAACCTGCCTTCTTACTCCTTTTTAGGGCACCAGAAGCCTGAAACCCCTGCCGTTTTTACTCCATGAAAGGGTGCACCACAAGCCTGGAAAACCTCCCTGTCTTACTCCTGTAATTTTCACCAGCAACCCGGTAACCTGCCTGTTTACTCCATGTTAGGTGCCCAGCAACCTGGAAACCTGCCTGTCTTACTCCATGAAAGGGTGCACCAGCAAGCCTGGTAACCTCCCGTCTTCTCCATGTTAGGTGCCCGCAACCTGGTCCCCTGCCTTTTTTACCCCATGTAAGGGCACCAAAGCCTGGTAACCCTGTCTTACTCCATGAAAGGTGCACCAGCAACCCGGGAAACCCTCCCTGTCTTTACTCCAGAAAGGGTGCACCAGCAAGCCTGGTAACCTGCCTTTTTCTTATCCATGTTGGGGCCACAGAAACCCGGGGAACCTCCGTCTTACCCCCATGAAAGGGGCCCCACAACCCCGGGAAACCCTGCCTGTTTTATTTAAGGACCCAGCAAGCCGGGTAACCTCCTGTCTTACTCCATTTTAGGTGCACCAAAAGGGCCTGGAAACCTGCCTGTCTTATCCATAAAAGGTGCACCAAAAAGCCGGGTAACCTGCCGCTACTCCATGAAAGGTACACCAGAAACCGGAAAAACCTCCTGTCTTCCCTCCATGTTAGGTGCACCACAAGCCTGGAAAACCCCCTTCTACTCCATGTAAGGGCACCAGCAACCGGGGTAACCTCCTTCTTCCCCCTGTTTAGGTGCACCAGCAAGCCGGGTAACCTCCCCTGTCTTACCCCATTTAGGTGCCCCACAACCCTGGTAACCTCCCTTTTACTCCATTTGGGGTGCACCAGCAACCCCTGGAACCGCCTTCTTACTCCATGTAAGGTGCCCCAGCAAGCCTTAACCTGCCTGTTTACCCCATGTAAGGTACCCAAGCAAGCCTGGTAACCTGCCTGTTTTACCCATGTTAGGTGCCCAGCAGCCGGAACCTGCCTGCCCCTTACTCCATGTAAGGTGCCCCCAGAAACCCTGGTAACCTGCCTGTCTTACCCCATGTAAGGTACACCAGCACCCCG